CTGCCTGTGCCAGGCCTCTGCTAATCCCTTGGGCTGCATTGCTGGGAGAAGGCGGCTTGGAGGAAGAGGCAGAGTGTGGGTGGGGTGGGAGCAGGGACTAGGGCAGATAGGGAAGGGATCTTGGATTTGTTCCAAACTCTGGAGGTGGGAGTATGCACTAGTGATCAAAGAGCCTTCTGCCAATTCCCTTCAATCTTGGTTCTTTCTGCTTCATCCCCTCCAGTCCCATCTCTTCCACACTCTTGTCTTTCTCACCCCAGTCCTACTCTCACATCTTCCACTCTGCCAATCATTCTTGTCTCTCCCACCTGCCCAGTTCCTTCTCCACAGTTTCCCCCCACCCACCCACCAGTCCCAGTTTCCTCACTCTCAGCTCCTCAATCTGTCTCCCTCTTCCTAGCCTCACAAGTCTACCCTCTGGACTTTAATCATACAATTACCTGTTTATACTGCTCTATATACCACACCTTGAAATACAAGAATAATATTTATATTCCAGTAGGGAGGTAAGCAACTAGTGCACGGGGCCAGCAGGGGACTCAAGCAGGCCCCTGCTGGCCCCATGCTCCCTGCTTTTGAAATGTACAAGAGCCCCAGGATGGGGGGCCAGCAGGGGACTCAGGACCTAACCCTAAGCCCCCTCTCTTGCACATTTCAAAAGTCGGGAGCACGGGGCCAGCGAGGGACTGCTTGAGTCCCACGATGGCTCCGTGCTCCCCACGGGCGCTTTGCTTTTGAAATGTACAAGAGCCCCAGGATGGCTCTTGTACGTTTCAAAGGCAGGGAGCACAGAGCCAGTAAGGGATTGCTTGAGTCCCCCCACTGGTCCCATGCTCCCTACAGGTGTCCACCTTTCAAATATAGCCAAACTGGCAGGGCTCTTCCTACATTTCAAAGGCAGACTCCCCTTATCCACTATTTAGTTGATTTAATCTTAATTTAGCACCCTTATATTCCAGTTGATTCATTATGCGGGCAAAATGAGAAAGTAAGCAATTGTCCTGTAACAGTGTTCTGTGTTTATATGTCTGATTTTGTAAGCAAGTAATCTTTTCAAGTGAAATGAAACTTGGGATAGGTGAGACAAAGAGTCCTAGAAGGGGTACGGTAGTCTGGAAAGATTTGAAACCACAAGTGGGTATAAGATCCCATAGTACTGATGAAATCCCATAGAAGTAAAAGTAGTTTTAAGATCACTGCCATCATAATACATTTGGGGTTAAATATATAGTAATTTCATGTGTGTGTGTCTAAGGGGAAAGTTTTGCTATAATATAAAATTACTTTGCCCTAATATCACCCTGGATAAAGTAATTTTGAACTGACTCTTAAGTAACTAAGGGCAAATCTACATGAAGTTGGTGGCAAACTGAGGTGTAGATCTGCCCTGCACTAGCCTGCAGGGCTCCAGTTGTCTGTATGGGCCCTGCCGCCCCACACACAAAGTTTCTTAATAATCTGAGTTACAACTGTAAATCCAATGTTTCTGTATGCAAGTCCTATAACTTTTCTGCTTCTAAATTCTGTTTTTCAACTTGTTTTGTTCAGCTGCCATGAGCGATTACATAATGTCATTGGCACAGAAACCTAATTAGTATTAGTAAGAATCTGTATTTCAACTATCCATAATTCTGTGTTGATACCAAAAATTCACCCACCTGGAGCAGCACACAATTAAGTTTGCCTATGTGACAAGAAAAAACCTTGAATTAATTAAAATTATTTTTGATATACAGAAAAATCCCATGTGGAATTTAATCTTTTGAAGTTTGTAAACACCCTCATTTAGCTATCTTTGCCTTCTGTAATTTATTTGCTTTAGATCCTATTTTTCTAATAAAACATTTACAATAATTTTCCATTCTGTACTTTAACAAAGTAATAGAAATCGAGGGACTCATGAGAACCTCGGTATAAGTATCTCATTAAATAAAACTATTTAACCAATGTGTGTTTTATAACATGTTTCCCATAACAGGACAGCAGTTTCAGTTAGGCAAAACTGGAACTCTGAATATTTAACTCTCTTTACTAGATAAGTCTCAAACGCCTGGCTCATGAGCCATCTCCCTTCAGAGTGATTGCACAATCATCCAGTGTGCTCCACTTCTCCATGGCTCCTGATGCTCTGGGGAGTGCGGGGGCTTATTGACCGCTGCTGCCACACCACACCCGGCTCCCTCTGTGATTCCCAAAACTGTGTCCTTGGGAACAGAGTGCCATGGGAAGAAAGGGCAAAGGTGATGGTGGGAAGGGGTGCAGTTTGGGGAGTGGTAACGTACAGGTCTTGGGTGGAGTGTGCAATTGCTCCAGCTGGGTATGACTTGTGGGCTGGAAATTTGAGACCCCTGCTTTATAAGCTTTGACCTCAATTTTACCAGTCTAAATCTCATGTAAGTCACTGGTTGTAGTGGAGTAACTCTGTATTCTTACCAGTGAAAATAAGAGTACACTTTGTCTCTATAAACCTTCTGGTTTCACAATGAAGATAAGGCATTTCAGCTGATCATTACTTCTTTAAGATTGTAACCTGGTAACAGCTGGTTAAAGTATGCATAAGGCTTATGAGCATTAGAAGCATTCAAAGCTTTACAAATTAAGTAAGCCAAACTTGGAAAGTTGTAGATATCCAAAGCAGTATATTAAGCCAGATTACTTTTGTTGTACAAAAAAACCCCACACACAACTACAGTGTATATATATTTAAAATCCTCCACTAGCTTCAAAGAGACCAAACCCTACATCTCCTCTATTTTGATAGCCCAAACACTGGATCCATTTTACATGTTAGAAGCCTCTTTATATATACTGGCCCTGTATTTCAAAAACAGCATGGAAAAAGGGCAACATGATCCTGCTATCAGCGTTTCAGAACCAAGTAATTTTGTTCTACAGTGATAGATCCTTTGTTATTTCAGAATGATCAGAAATCAGCATGTATGTAGCAACTGAGCAGAAGTAGTCAAAAGTTGAGCTGTCTTCTGGGATCCTGTAATATGTTCACTTTGTCCTACTTCCTTTGGCACATTTTTTCCCCAAAAAAACGGTGTAGGCCAACATTGTAATCTTTCTCCTTTAATAAAAAGTCAGAAATGGCTTAGAATTCAGTATGAGTACTAGCAACTTTTGCCAGTATAGTAACCTTGCTGAAGGGTGTAATTTTTAAAATTTTTATTTTAGTTTGACATTTCTGAACCAGCAAATGCCCTAGCAGAAGCACTTACACTGGCAGAAAACAGCTTTTGCCACTGTATTTAAACTAGCAGAAACTGTACCAGCAAAAGCACTTTTTGCCACTATAAACTGCATCTACACTTAGGAGGGTTCAGCCACCATAACAGCAAAACTTAAGTCAAACGGACCTTAAAGCCAGGTACTCTCATTTATGATTCATATGATATATAGTATAATTGATAAAAAGAATGAACACTGAATTACACACTCCATTTCCCCTCTATTTTCCCACCCCACTGTAGTATTCCACATTCTAGCAGGGTGTCTGTGTGGCCTCCACTTTTTTCATGCCATGGGCTTCTTCCCCTCACTTTCCTTTCTTATTGACTCAGTTTGGTGAATTTCTGCAGCTGACGAGCGAGACAGTCTGGCAATATGCGATACACACTATTGTAGTTATATAGCAATTTGCGTAGCTTTTTCTGAAAAAAGGCTCTAGTGTAGACATAGCTAAATTCTTGGGAAGCAAGACACAGTGCTGAAAGATGTTCCAAAGGTAGGTTCCACAGCAGCAATAGCAGCTACCTATGTAGCTCTTCAGTGTCATCTGTGGAGACAGTGGGCCACCCAGCTTACAACAAAGCAGCAGCTCTATAAAAACATGGTTGTACCAGCTGTATTGTGGATGTTAAGAGTGACAGCTTCACATTTCTGATTCTTCTTGTCTTTGCCAGCTGTTTCATATTAAGTAGCAAGCCAAGGGCAGCCACCAAAGTATTAGTAGATGAGTAGAACAGTTTCCACCATCAGCATTAATTCTGTTTCAATGACATTATTAGGAAGATCAAAAAATTACAGAACACTTTTACTCTTATCTGTAATGATCCTTATCTGCTTCTTTTAACTATCCAATTTTTCGGTGCTTATAGATTACCAGTTTTGTCTGTTTGGTTTTCCCTTTGATATTTACATACCCCCTCTGCTTCTTGTTTCCTGCCCCCCTTCCATTTTTTTCCTTCCCCCGTCACTTCTCCCCTATTTATTTTGGGTCTGGACATCTTAAACTCATAATTCCGGCCATCTGAAGAAGTGAACTGTGCCCACGAAAGCTCGTGATACCATCTACATGTTTTGTTAGTCTATAAAGTGCTACCAGTCTATTCTTTTTTAAGTTTATCCTGTACAGACTAACCTGGCTACCCCCTGAAACTTTTATTACAGAATGCCACCACACAGGTGAGGGAGGGTTATATCTTGTATTTATTGCCCTCTAATATCTTGGGATAGACACAGCTACAACTATAGGGCATACAACAAAGGAAGGCATCAAATTTAATGATCTGAAGTGAAAACAAAAAGAGACAGAAACGAATCCAATAAAAGATATTATCTCACTCATATTGTCTCTCCATTATGTCTATATTAGAAACAGGATCAACAATCCACTACAACTCTTCTTAATGACTGTCTGATATTTTGATTCATGTTAGTTTTGAAAAGTTTAGGCAAGACAAACTTAATGGTATAAAATTTAAAAAATCAGATCCTGTATTAAAGTTTAGATAGAAAGACCTATGAGCCTGAGTTCAATCAACAAACTAAATCATAAGAAACACATGGACATGTACTAAAGGAATAAGTAGAACAATAAGGTAACAAGGCATTTTAGTTTTGAAAGTACCCTTTAAGAAGTCAAATCTATAGTTACATTACTGACCAAATACATCTATTCTTATAGTGGCACAATTCACATTTCAGTCTCTTTAATCATCTCTGTATTTTTGTTTTTCTTAAGCGTTTGGTCTAAATTGCAAAAATATACTCACAACAAATGAAATCAGTGTTTCAAGTGGCAGCACAGAGTCAGCTGTTCAGAAATTAAATGTGCGTTTATCTGTAAGGAGTAAACATTCCTTTGAGGTCAAAAGTCTCTTGAGCAATGCAATAAAACGTAAGGCGGAAAGGTGTGGGACTCTTACAGTTACCTAATGAATTCCAGTCACCTGAATGATACGGGGCACGGGAGAAATCTGATCTCACTAAGTGTTTCTATACAGCTGGGGTTGGGTCTGCTGCCAGCCTGAGACAGACACAAGGTAAAATGAACAGAGGGGGAAATGTATCCTTCGGAGCAAGTGGAAGCCACCTGGATGCCCAAATCTCAGCACGCCCCTCTTCTTGAGACTGCAGTGCAGGAGAGCCTGGAGACAGGCAGGGGGAGGTGCAAAGGCAACTTTCACTGGGACAACTTCTGCGGGTGAAAGGAAGGGGCAGAGCCAGCTCCCCGCCGCACAAAGCCTGCAAACCTCGCAGCGAGCCCGAGCCGGCTGCCCTCCCACGTCAGCCAGGCACAGGGCGGGCTGCGGGTGACCCAGCGCATGGCTGGACAGTCCCCGGAGAGGGGGCCGTGCCGCTCTACGCCAGCCCCGCCCGCCAGGGAGAGGGAGGCAGGCGGGGTTGGAGTAGAGCGGTTTCCTCCAATCACCTCTCGGCTCTGCCTTAGCTCCGCCCCCCCTCATCGGCAGCGAAGAAGTTTCCCCTGCCCCGCCCAAGAAGAGGGAGGGGGAGACAGAGAGAGCAGCCTCCACCAGGAAGAGCATCCCTGCTGCCTTCGCGCGCTAAGGTGTCCCTCGAGAACCCTCGAGCGGAAGTGCCACTCTAAAGGCGCCACCTGAAGGAGGTGGTGGTGGGGGGGGGG